ATGACCTTCTAATAACTTTTTATCTACATGGTCATGTGGTTACATCATAGCTTTCTTGTATATGTGGGTATATAAAATAAGTTGTTGCATTAATTGACGTTTGATTATTCATCAAACCACATTATATGTCACATGATATTAAATTTGATAATTATTAATTTTTTATTAAAATTAAACATTTATAATACAAAAGTAGAAATTTAATTGCATAAATTGACATAATTCATGGACATTTTTAATATTTAGACCTTGATAATATGATTCGGAGAAGGTCTAGATAAATTGTTAGTAGATTTTCCGAAGCTTGCCTTGGAATGATCTTGAATCTTATCTCTTTAATATATAACTAATCTCAAGAGAGAAATATTTAATAAATATATATATATGAAGAGTTTGTATACTCTCTCTGATGATTTTATTGATAAGCATGTTGTGTTTAAATACAAGTTGTGATGGCAATACAAATTAAGGAAATAAATGTTTACGATAAATTGCTGTCTAATGTAAAGGCATTAGTTATGCCGTAGATTAAGGAATTAGGAATTAATTATAGCAATTAGTCAATGATCATAATCTATAATTAAGGAGAATAAGTTGCATACATGCTAGAGGTAGCGACAGCTAGCCAGACAACTAAAGTTTCTAAAGGTGGCGAAATCTACTCAAGGAAAGACGTCAATGAAGGAAAATTCTAAAAATTCAAATACATTTTTGTTCATAAATTGAATGCTCAAGTACAGAAACCCTTTATTTATTGAAAATAAAAAAGGAAACACAAGTTAGTTCTCTGCATTTTATTTACTCACGAGAGGCTCAACCAAAGTATTAATGGCCTTGCCCACCAAATACCTTGAAACCATATTTGTAGCCATAAGCCACTCTACAGGATTGTTGGTGTGCCTCCCCCTCCCATCTTACTCCAAATGGCTACAAATTCATTGAATTTGTAATAAAATAATTGAATTTTTCAACTGGTCGGCAGTTTACAATAAACTTGGACATTAAACATTTATTATAAAATGTTATTGATGTGTTAGGAATTCACATTTTCAACTCACAAAACATATTTATCAAATGACAAAAAAAATCCTTATTAATTATAAGTTCATAATCATTTTCATTTATTATTGATGTGGAATTCGTAACATATATAATCTTCATAACTAAATTTTATTTTTAATATTGTTCAAAATTTGTATAATGCAATGAAATCTATGAAAATATTGTCATAAAAAATATACAAATGACGTTACTAAAAATATTTTTAATAACACATTTATATTAAGACTAAATCAAATTTGTTGTAACATTACAAGTACCAAATCAAAAGGTTCAAAACTCTTTAATGACATTGTTTTTTGATATATATATATATATATATATATATATATAAGCATGTATGTGTAATCGGGATGCACCATTTTTATTTTATTTTTACTAATTTACTTGCTTATATTTACTTGGTTGGTACTCTTATATTGTCGAATAATATTCATGAATTTGAAGAGACAAGGATTAGATGAAATACTTCAAAGAGATTTGGAATATCCAAGACAATCATCATCTTGTACTAGCCAATAGGCATGGGGATAATTGAAGAATGTAGATTACAAACTTTCTGAGCTAACAGATCTATATTTTACTATTAATATCACTAGGTCCCACGGTTTTGGTATGGTCCTGTCTAGATAACCTGTCATCGACTCGATACCTTTTAACCCATGGCGATCTATGGGGGAATACTCCTTTTTTTTATGGGTAAAAACATGCTATCATTCTAAATTAAATCGGATCACATATATATTATTAATTACTCGTCACATCAATGGAATTATAAAGTATCAAAACCTTCTTTCTTTATTATAAAGAATTGATTTAATCGTGTAAAATGTTAACTTCCGATAAGATGAATAATAGTTAAGAATAAGTCTAAAAGAATTCCGATCACATATATGTAGTATTTGTTACTCATCATCCCTCGATGGAATTATGAAAGCATCAAATCTTCTTCTACGTGTTACTAGCAATGGGTTCAATTTATTATTAGTTCATTCACATGGACAATAGGAGATTTTGGTTATCTAAAATGCTGGTTATGATAAAATGAACAGAAAAACTTCTTTAAACGAAAAACTACACATCTTAACCTAGCTAGCTAGCTAGCTTAGGGGGTGGAGTAGTTCCTGGTCTTTCGACATCGGAAACCGTCTTCTCTTCTATCTAACATTTGTGCAAGAAATAAAGCTTTGAAAACTTTACAGGGAGGTAGCCATCAGCCATCACCACATGGTCGTCAAGTTCACATGTCGGGGGAAGGGCAAAGTTGCAAACCGCCTAGTTAAAAAACAAAGGGCGGGCGGGTAGAACTGTGATCTTGGCCTTGCATGGAAGCCGTAGGACCCACGGGTTTGATTAGTCAGTTCTCTTGATTAGTTGCATGTTTGCCACGTGTTTCTTTTCATGTTATTATCCAGGTTATCATAATCCTAGTCTCTCACGTGAAAGAGAGAACTTGTTTGAAAGTTGGAACTCTGCTTCGCTTTCCCCGCTTCCCCTCTCGTCTCGACTCTAGTACAGATTTCAGTATAGTTTGGCAAATAGCAAAGCAGAGAAAACGCTGCAGTCAGTTTCGTTGTGCTAACCCAAAATCGAAGTTAACTCAAAATCGTCAATCTCTAGACAAATAGAGAGCGAGACAAGTGTAAAAATGGAGAGAGAGATTTGAATTATATATAATAACAAGAGGGAAGTTGGAAAAACAAAAAAGGTGAAAGGGGAGGCCGGGATTTGATTGGAGAGTAGGTGCGGTGAGTGGAAAGGAGATCACGAGAAACTTGGGGTTCCCTTTGAAAAATTTATTCCAAAGGTGTTGCATGGAGAAAATGGCAAATGGGTTTGCTATTTGAATGGGAGAAAAACCAGAGGGAGGGAAGAAGGGAAACCCCATCGTGCAATTTGAATGGGACTTTGGAAAGAGATCTCATCTCACTTGTGACCACATGCAATGTGATTAAGTTACAATTTAGTTAAATATTTGAGTATTTAATTTATTAATTAATATATAATCTCTTCACTTAAAAAGTAAAATTCAAATTCCTATTCTTTAATTATAAAAAAAAGCTACAACTTGACCTCTGCTAGAAAATTAAGAAGAACATATTTGGGTTAGAATCAATGTGTGGTGGGTTATGAATCTACCAATCTCCTGATAGATGTGCTTCAAACTTCTCTTTCTGGTCCCTTTTTCACAGCCCTGATATTCTCTCTCTCATGAATGATTCAATTGGCATGTCAGATATATGTTTCTGAGAGATACTGGGGGGCATTGAAAAAGAAGTAGGAAGTAACATGTAGTTTGTGATTTCATTAAATAGAGAGGACCTATCATTGAACTGTTTTTGTTCCATTTAACAAGCCTATCATAAATTTAGGTTTGGAAAGGAACAAAAAATTGAATTTGAAATTATTAAATAATTATTCATTGTTTAAAAGTTTAGGTCAATTATGGATTTAGGAATATTTAACCTATAAAGACTTTTTAGAGGGGAGAGAACCTACAGAATTCGAACTCAATTTCCTTCAAAAATATAGTAGTAATATAACAATTATTAGGAAAGATCTCTTTTTAATTTTTTTTATTATAATTTGGATTTTAATTACACTTCTTCAAATAACATATCATTTTATGTAGTAAAATATTAAAATATCTTTTAATAACACTTTTTAGAGATATACAACATTAAGTCAAATTTATTGTAGATTATTGTTTTTTTTTTTTGTAATAAAGTGACTTGAATGATTCAAGATTCATGCATCTTTAAATTAGTAATGGGTAACAAGGCTTCTTTGTGAGTAAACATTGAGTTTGCTTTGTTGCTTGACCTTGTCTAATTCCAGATTTGGCTGCTAGCTGCTTTGATTAATAAGGTAAAACCAAAAAATATAGGTAAAGGGAGATAGAAATTTCAACTTTCTAATCAAAGGATCCTTGACCAGCTATATTAGCCAACTATTTTAATTAATGTTTTCTCCAATTATTATTTCTTGGCTTATAAGACTTAAAAGAGTTAATTATACTGTTACACATTCATATGTTGGCTATAATAGAAGATTGATTTTAACTACTAATATGTACTATCTTTCTCGATATTATGTAAGGCAATCTTACAAAAAATTATATTATTGTATGGAACACAAGGTTAAAGCAATGGAATGAACCCCAAAGCAAAATAGTCTCTTACAATATTTAAGAAAGTTTGATTCGGTAATTTTTATATATAGATATATCTATTACAATACTCACTGTCATAACCTTAACAAATTTATCGAAAAATGCCATAATAACTTATGAGTGGTCACATTGCATTGATTATAGCATCCAACTTGTACATACGGAGTTTTGACAACTCATTCGAGATTCTTTTACCAGGTTTACAAACCCGGCCTTAATAATCCTCTTTGCAATTTCCTCTGCCGTCTTCTCCTCCTTTTAACTTAATTTATATATAATTATATATAATTAAAATAGAAAAAATTTAAATTTTACTTTTTAAACAGAGAATTATACATTAATCAATAAACCAAATGTTCATACGTATTCTTAACTTAATTCTTATACTTTCATACTTTTTATTTTATATGTATAAATTTATCATTTATCACTATATTCATTATTTTAAATTCTGATATGATTTTTTTTATTATCACTTTTATTATTCGTTTTATTTGTTGTAACATTTTCTTGTTATAAATCAATTTGTATATTTGATTATAGTTCGTATTTCAACTATGTACTCAATCTAAAACGTGTCAATTTAATAGAAATTAAAATAATAATTTTCTTTATAAACATGTTAAAATGGTAATCACCTTAAGCTAAAATGGAGTAAAGAGATTTCAATGTTCGAAAAATTAATAATAACTCAAATATAGATATATTAAAAAAATCCAAAGTTAAAAAAAAGAAAAGAAAAGGAAAAGACATACCCATAGATAAACCGCAGAGCGGTCTCCATTCATTTGCCTCAGTTGAGTTCAGTACATTCATAACGTTCAAACTTGGAATCCATCTCTTTCTTTCCCCGAAAAATATGATGCTCTGCTGAAAAGCTACTTCACTTTTCTCTGCTTCCTCTGTCTCAATTCTCAATTCTTCTTCCCCTGTAACTGCCTTTCTTGTTCTCTTTCTTCCATACTGAAAAGGAGAAAAAGCTGAGAGCTTGGGAGTGAGAGAGATGGTCCTTGGAGCTAACGGCATCGTTTGGATGGATGGAGAAGAGGAAGAAGATGCAGTTTCTTCTTGGACCAGAAACAACAACTACAACAGTAACAGCAATAACGAAATAGAGACTAAAGAAGAGGACTTGACTATGTCGGGTGCTTGTCTTTCCACCTTCAAATCCATGCTTGATACTGATTGGTACATGAACCAGGATCTTCAAATCAGAGAGCTTGGTTTCTGCTCCTCCCAGGTTGATAACAATCCCCTTCTTCACCAGCCAATTGACTCCTCGGCTTCTTGTTCTCCCTCACAGACCTTCACCCTTGACCCTTCACAGTCACACCCTTTCTTGCCTCCAAAATCATGCTTCTCTTCTCTTCTCAATGTTTCCTGCAGCAACCCTTTTGATAATGCCTTCGATTTCGCCTCCGAAACGGCCTTTCTCGGTCATTTTCAGCCGAATCAAACCCCGAATTTGATGGGTTTTCCTCAGACTCAAATGGGTACTCCTGAGTTCAGTTCGAGCTCCGAGTTTCAAGGTACAAGGCTGTTCACAGGAACTGACAATGCTTCTGCTTTGAGTGGTGGGTTTAGTGCTGGTAGTTTTGAGGGTTTTGATGGATCAGGGAATGCTCTGTTTATGAACAGAGCAAAGATTTTGAAGCCTCTCGACGTTTTCCCTTCAGTTGGTGCTCAACCAACTTTGTTTCAGAAGCGAGCAGCGATGCGGCAGGGTTCTGGTGGAGCTGAAAAATTGGGGAATTTGGATGTTTCAGGACTGAGATTTGGAGGGGAAGCGTCGGACGGAAAGAGGAAGCGGCATGAGGAGGGGGACATTGAGGAAGCCAGCATCGATGTGTCGGGTTTAAATTATGATTCTGATGAGAGGAATGATGATTGCAAAGTGGAGGAGAGTGTGAAGAATGGTGGTTGCAATTCAAATGCAACTAGTACGGTCACTGGTGGTGGGGATCAGAAGGGGAAGAAGAAAGGGATGCCGGCGAAAAATCTGATGGCCGAGAGGCGGAGGAGGAAGAAGCTCAACGATAGGCTTTACATGCTTAGGTCTGTTGTGCCTAAGATTAGCAAGGTATCTTATATTTGAAAATTCAAAGGAATTTATTTATCTTAAACTAGTATTTTCTATCCTTCTCTCACTGTGTCTTTTTGGTTTGTTCATGTTATAAGTATACAAAGTTAGAATTTTGAGTTATGGCATTTAATTTTGGCTCTTGAATGATGCTATGTCACCAATTTCTAGTGAGAGTTTGATAACATGCATGTTATAGATGGTGAGAGTTTGATAACATTGACAGCCACTCATTGTGCTTATTATGTTACAGATGGATAGGGCTTCCATACTTGGGGACGCCATTGATTACTTAAAGGAGCTTCTACAAAGGATCAACGATCTCCATAACGAACTTGAATCCGCCCCACCTGGCTCTTCGATGCCACCATCTTCAAGCTTCCACCCGTTGACACCCACCCCGCCTACCCTTCCATGTCGTGTCAAGGAAGAACTATGCCCAAGCTCGTTGCCCAGCCCTAAAAGTCAGCCTGCAAAGGTTAACTTTTGACTTAAAAATTGACTAACTTTTTCCCTAGTAATTTGCTTGATTCTCTAAAATTGTTGATTTATTTGAGAAACTGATATCATAAGTCCTTTTACCTACTAGGCAAAAGATTTGACATGCCTGATGGTTTTGAAAATCTTGAAGGTGAAAGGAGCAAAACATGAATGCCTGTGCATTCTTGTCTGATGGTGACTTGCATGTTATCAACATGACAAATAAGTTCTCGTCAAGTTAGCATGTTGCGTAAAGCTATAATAATTTCTATATTAGGCTATGGACTGGAAGACTTTCTATTGATTTGTGTTTAAAGTTGATTTTAGAAAGTAAAAGTGCCCTGTTAAACCTACAGAATAAGTGAGTTCTTGTGTATGTACTTGCATGAACAATGGGGTCCAATGTTTCATCCATTTTTTATATAGAACATGTGCTCATCAAACGTGGTTGGTTTTGAGTTTGTTGATGGACCTTATCATGAAACTTTGAATACACTATATTGGATAAATATCATAGATTGAGGGGGCTGGAGTTTTCACTTAATCTTTTTGTTTCTTTTCATATTATTGATCCTTTTCTTGTCTTCTGCTTATAAACACGCAAGAGCTGCTTGTTGGTTATGAAGTGTGATAATTGTTTTTTCCCTGGTCAACATTGTTCTTCATATTTACATGCTGGGCTTTTATTTCTTTGCATTGGGATGTAGAACTCATGTCAGACATGAGACAAGATATATATACCTATATACTTGCACAAAACTCTCAGCAGGTTGTGTCAATGTAGCTTGTGACAGACCATACATTTTTCCTAAGTGTTTTGAGCAATAACTGAAGTAACCCTTAACTTTTACATTTCTATTTCTGCATTTGCAGGTGGAGGTTAGGGTCAGGGAAGGAAGGGCTGTCAACATTCACATGTTTTGTGCTCGCAGACCTGGTCTCTTGCTCTCCACTATGAGAGCTCTGGACAACCTTGGGTTGGATATACAGCAAGCTGTAATCAGCTGTTTCAATGGGTTTGCACTAGATGTTTTCCGAGCTGAGGTGCAATTCTTTCTTGTCTTCTTGTCTTTGCGATCTGCTACTGGTGATTTCCGTATAAAGATCAATTTTAATTTGCATGTCTATACAGCAGATTATATATGTTCTTCTCTTCATGTAACTTAACATCTGTGTAACAATTCTGATGATTCCAAGCCAAGCCAACTCATTGCGAAATCCAAGGCCCCAAAAAGAGTTCTTTGTTGTGAACTACAAAGAGATGGGCCTTTATAGAAGGAATTAAGTTAAACTTTTCTGTATGTTTGCTAGGTTGGACTGTAGTTGAAAACATGACTAGTTTAGTAAAGGGCAAGTTCAAATAAAGGTATAGACCATGAGTCAAAACCCTGAGATTGAGGACCCCCTTCCCGTTGTCCTGTTCTGGAGGATACTATCTAGCACAGAATCCTTGTACTGTTGTGCACATGGATTGAAGTCAGAATCATAAGTTTTTAGTGGGACCTATGCTAAGCAATTTTTTATTCACATATTTTCTTTCTGTTGCAAGAATTGTTTAAGCCTTCTCACCATTCCTGGCTCTCCCCTCTGAAGGGTAATTTAATGCTAAGGGTTGGTAATTATTGGTCTTAGATCACCAAAGAATTACTCCTGAGATAAGTGTGAAGCCATTACAGGACCAGATTGACAAAGTGGTAAAGGGTAGGAAAGATTGCCACCGGGGAAACATGATGTAGAAAACTGAAGGAGACAACCCAGCATCTACCATTTAGTATTATTTTTTTTTGGTTAACACGGTCAGGGGTATCCCCAGGTTTGCTTGGCCTAATCCTCTCTTCGGCGATCTTTAGGACGCACTCCCCAATATTGGCCTGGAGCATTCAAGAGTTTACTCCGGGACTGCTCCCCAAGATTCGACAAGGAAAGGGGACTCCCCTCCTTACCGACAGGACTACCTTTTGTGGGTCACCTGTCATTTAGTATTACAAGTGGTTATGTTGATCAAACAATAAGACATTGAAGAACATTTTCCCCTTAACTTTTTAGTTTCCATAGTCCAGATTAAATGGTGTGGCTTTATCAAATGCTAAATAAAAAGACAAGTTTGAAAAATTGGAAGTTGGAGCTGTACAATCATCTCAAGGAGACTTTTGGTGAAAAGCATTACAAACTCATCTGGAATTCTGTTTGTTATCTATAAAAGAGAAGTTTTTAAGGTGTTTAGCATTTGGATCGAGAGATTGATTATTCATATTATTTTCGTTTGTTGTTTAACAGCAATGCAGGGAAGGCCAGGATGTATTGCCCGAGCAAATCAAAGCAGTCCTTTTGGATTCCGCAGGCTTCCATGGTATAATGTGACTCGAATACCTTTATCTATGCAAAATGCAACCATCTTATGAGTGCAGGCACTAACCGCAGTCTTAGACCTTGGGGTAGTTTGTAAATTTAGTTTGCTTCTCATCCCATTTTAAGGACACCAATTTCGAGTAGAATGTGTTCAGGCTCTTCAGATTCCTAGGCGGCGCAAGCAAGCATCTTTTAGCAGATATGTTTATTTTTCTTAATTTTACTTTGCAAGATTCTCATGGAACTTGGTGTTTGGGACTTGGTGTTTTAGTAATTTCCTGCAGTTCGAAATAAAATCTCCCTTGTTTTGTACCTTTCTTTTGTTGCTGGAATGCAGATTTGATAAACTGTGTTGACCCTTTCAAATCATTCATCCAAGCTTTGTGCATTGGTTAAACCCTAGAATTTTTGACGGATGGGACCAATGGTTAACATTTATGGAAATCTTCTTGATGGCGCTAAGAATTTTTGGCAATTATTGGGGCAAACTCACTGGCCTGTCCCTACCACTGATTCTGTGATTCATGCAAAAGGAACCAACTTTTGGCAAAGTTGTTGATAAAATCAATAACGATACATACCAAAGCATTTAATCACATAAATTTTTTTAAAAAAATTTCATCTTATTACTTTTTTATCATAATTATAAAAATATAAATATTTATCAATTGTGTGAAATATAAAAAATTTATATTTATAAATATATATTCATTAAATGATAATTATTGAAATATTTTTTATTATAATTATTAGTAAGATTTAAATTTATTATTAATGTATTTTTATCAAATGATGATCATTGAAATATTTTTTATTATAATTATTAGTAAGATTTATTCCATTTATAAATAAAAATTTTAATTATATTGAATGGTTTCATTAAAAAAATATTTTTTAATTTTTAATAATATTGTATAATTTAAATATTAATATTTTAAATTAATTATTTTAAAATAAATATTAATAATTTTTTATATTTTAAATTAAATATTAATATTCATCAAATTTATACTCATAAAATTATTATAAAAGTATTTTTGTTATTCTCTAAAAAGGATGTACAATATTTTTCATGATTAACCCTGTTAACTCGTCAAATATTTTACATTTAAAATTAATTTTTTTATCTTTCAATTAAGTATAAATCTTGAAAATGTTTTTTAAAAAATATTTTATAGTAAAACAAACGGACCTTTAATCCAAAAATTTTAAAACATATTATATATAAATATGATATAAATATTGGTAATATTTTAAAAAAATATTTAAATTAATTGTATCAATTGAATTTGATTGAAATAAGACGATTTTGATTGTGGTTGGAACAAACTTGATTAATCAAATAAATGGTCAGTTTTAATTGAGCTATCAACCTAGTCGGTTGTAGCAAAGCTCTAAATTTTAATTATTTTGGATGATTGTGACCATTTTGGAATTGTTGAAACATGCAATTGATTTTATTTTGGATGAAGGTAACCATTTTGTAATTGTTGAAAGTTGGAAAGGATGATAGAAAGAAAAGGACAAGAAGAAGAAAACAAAAAAGAAAAGAAACACGATGTGGAATTGGTGGTCAAATAAGCAAATAGTGGTCCAAATTAAGGGCAGCCAGTCAGACACCAGCCAAGTCATCCTGCATGCGGCGACTCATTTCTCTACGTCGGATTCTACTTTCTAAAACCTTTAATTTTATTTAATAAAATAATTAAGTATATATTTGATGTATTATTTTCAATTTATAAACAATATATGTTATTGGTAAATTAACTATTGTAT